GTTCAGTGATAAGGAATCCAAGGCCCCAGAAAGTGCAGAATATCAGCCTCCTTTGTGCCTCAGCTTCTAGCACAATTCCGGGTCCATCAAAGGTCTTAGTCAATATTTGTCAAATTACCAATAAGCAAAAGAAATTTGCCCTGCCTACCTCAATGAATGCAGGCATGCATGCACAGGTAGACTCAGTGGACAAGAATGAATTGACAGAACAGGGCCCACTTCCCTGCTCCACCAGCCCCTCCTCTAGCCTCCCACAGCTCAGCAAGCACCCTCTCACCTACGTAACTAAAACCCAATTAAAACCCAAGAACATCCAATCTCTCGGCAAGGGCTATTGCCTGTATCTTTCAAACACATATGGGTCTTTTTACCACCAACCTCCTCTCTCCTCATGTCCTTGCCTTGCTCCAGCCATGCCCATCTCTATTCAGTTCCTCCAACCCCTCAAGCTTGTTCTTTCCCACTTAGCTCCTTCTTGTCACCTCCTCTAGGGAGCCCAGCGAGATCCTCCCTAACCATCCTGAGCCCCTTCCTAGAGCTCCCATTCTCAGTCTCCGTCCAGGTTCTGTCTCCTCTCACCTGGACTTCTCTCTGCATAGCATCTACCCCTCTCTGATCTTCACTGGTGTATCTGTGTATGGCCTGTCCTCCCCTTCCCCTAATCCTCCTCTCCACCAGGCAGCAAGCTTCTCAGGGACAGACCCTCGGCCATCTTGTTTGGGCACTATTTTCCCCATCTGGCTGTGATGATTTCTTATCTGTCTTTGAATCCTCCTGGAGTCGTGCCTGGTACAATGTAGATGCTTCACAAGCTTTTGTTTAGTTTAATAATTAATTCTTTAATGTTTCCCATCCTGGTTAGCAGACAACTGATATGGAGCCTTTTTACCCTTGACTTAACAAGTTAGACGAAAGGCCTTTATAAACTGTTACGAGCCAGTTGGGTGTGAATTACTGTTGATATCACTGTAACTCGACTCTAACCACAACAAGGCAGAGTTGCCCAATTGGGTCTTGTCTTCAGCCTGGAACAGTCTCCTCCACCCAGCCCCGGTGATGGTGGAGAAGAGATGGCTGGGAATGAACGACAATGCAGAGCTCAACGTTCAGTCCAATTCACAGTCATTTATTAAGTCCTTGCTGGGATACTAGCCTGGTGCTAAACGCCACCGGTACAAAGGCAATGAGAGAGTCATTAGGTGTCAATTAAAAATAAAATGTTAAATTTAAAAAGCAACCGGAAAGAAAGAAAAAAGAAAAGGAGACACTGACCACCCTACGGGAGAAGTACTGTGATAAACACCTGTACCAAACACTGCGGAAGTGCAGAGAATGGTGGAACCGCCCAGGGACTTCACCTTGCCCACTGCCGAGACAGAACCGATTCCTCAAGACGGGAAAGAGTAATTCACACAGAGCCAGCTGTGTAGGAGACTGGAGTTTTATTACTACTTAAGTCAGTATCCCCGAGCATTCAGGGAGCAGTTTTTAAGGTTCACTTGGTGGGCTGCGGGGACGCCAGTGAGCCGGGAGTGCTGATTGGTCAGGAATGAAATCACAGGGAGTTGGAGAGATCTTCTTGCACTGAGTGGTTCCTGGGTCGGGGCCATAAGATCGGATGAGCCAGTTTATTGATCTGGGTGGTGCCAGCTGATCCATCAAGTGCAGGGTCTGCAAAATGTCTCAAGCACTGATATTAGGAGCAGTTTGGGGAGGGTCAGAATCTTGGAATATTATGCAGCCATAAAAAACAATGAGTTCGTGTCCTTTGTAGGGACATGGATGAACCTGGAAACCATCATTCTCAGCAAACTGACACAAGAGCAGAAAATCAAACACCACATGTTCTCACTCATAGACGGGTATTGAACAATGAGAACACATGGACACAGGGAGGGGAGCACTACACACTGGGGTCTGCTGGGGGTAAATGGGGGAGGGATGGGGGTGGCGAGTTGGGGAGAGATAGCATGGGGAGAAACACCAAGGTGAAGGGGAGGAAGGCAGCAAATCACACCGCCATGTGTGTACCTATGCAACAATCTTGCATGTTCTTCACATGTACCCCAAAACCTAAAATGAAATTTTAAAATAATAAATAAATAAATAAATAGAATCTTGTAGCCTACAGCTGCATGACTCCTAAACCACAATTTCTAATCTTGTGGCTAATGTTATAGTTTAGTCCCCAGGCAAGAAGGAGGTCTGCTTTGGGAAAGGGCTGTCACCGACTTTGTTTAAACAATAAATTAAGGAACGAAGACAGCTTGGAGGTTAGAAGCAAGATGGAGTTAGTTGAGTTAGATCTCTTTCACTGTCTCCATCATCATTTTGCAAAGGCAGTTTCTATGGGAGGGCAGACGAAAGGAAGTCCGCATGTGAGAGCCCAGCATTTCCCACCAGACAACTCATGTAATCCTCACAGTAGTCTTTTGAGGCAGGTTTTATTGTCCCCACTCTACAGCGGGTAAGCCTGGAGCTCAGAGAGGTGAAGGATCTTGCCTGAAAGCACACAGTTAACAGGAGGCAGGGCTTGTATTCTGACTCGGCCCTTGCAGACTGCAGAGCCTGGCTGTGTGCTATACCACTCAGCTGCCCATGGCCTACAGGCACCCAAGGGCAAGGCCGAGCATGTTCCTCCAGCAGGCTACAGGCTCAAGTTCAAGGGGAAAAGAAAGAGCTTCTCCCAATTGCTGTGTCCAGTATGTTTAACCATGGGGCAGGCAACACCCAGGGACCGTCCCTCCATATCTAATCTGGGTCACCCACCAGGGATTAAAAGAGGCCCTCTCACTCCCAAGAGGAGCAGAAAAAATCTCCAGCTGGAAATGTACAAGGTCCTGTCACTCCTCCAACCACCATCAAGGCAGGTCATGACCTCAGCACCACAGGGCAGGCAAGTCCCTGGGTGGAGACCCAGACCACAGGCAGGGCAGCTGCCTTCATCTAGCCCAGGAGTCCAAAACCAGACCTGGAAAATGAAGAAAGAGAAGGAAGCTTTCTGGGAGGCCTGAGTGAGTGAGGCGAGGGATCAGAGGGCGTGAACCTGGACAGCACCTTCCCTTTAACCTCTGCCTGGCAGAAAGGGTGTGCGTGTACTTTGTATGCAGGCCTTTGTGTCAGAGACTCCTGCAGATGACTCTATGTGGCTGTGTGTGTGCTGAGTGTGTTGTACCCGAGCGAGTCAAGGAATGCGCCACACTCTGAGAATGAATTATGAGTCCTTTATTAAGCTGGTGACCGAGAGTGGCTAACGCCCAAAATTCTCTCGGCCCCAAAGAAGAAGTTAGATGATCTTTTATACACTAGTTTTAACAGGAAGCGGGGAACCTAGCTGAAACAAAGTTTTCCCAAGGGCAGAGTAAGCAAAGAGTTAAAAAGAAAAACTGATACCTAAGAAATAAGACAGTGACAGGTGTGAGGAGTACAGCTGTCATGAAAGACATACAACTTATATAAGGCGGGCTCTGGGCACTCACTGCAGCTGCATTTTCAGGCTCTGCTGATACCACTTTACTCGGTCTCTTATCAACAAAGGCATTTCTGGGTGCCCAGAGTCAGTCGGACCTTGCTTTATACTATAGTTACATACTTGATGGGGAGAAAGTTACTAAAATGCAGAAGCCAAAATGGAGTCTGTTCAGCTCAAAAAGGCTAACATAAAACCTGAACAACTTTTAGTCAGGGAAAGGAGAGTTAGTTTTAGCTGGCAAAAAGCAGGGTATCACAAGTGCACACGTGAAGTGGTGTGAGTAGAAATGCCTTTGCATGTATTTGTGCACATGCGTCGATGGTGGCCTAAGACCACCACCTAAGACCACCTAAGACCACCACTCAGAAATATCATAGTGTTGGTAGCATATATGTAGTAAGTGAACATTTGCACATATAAACACCCACGTAACCAATGCCGAGAACAAGAAGCAGAAGTTTTCCTATGTTCCAGAAGACTCCACTGTGCTCCTTCCAGTCACTAACTGCCGCCTCCCCAGTTAACTCCCCTGATAACTACTATTCCGACTTCTAGTACTACAGATTAACTTTGCCTTTTAAACTTTATATAAATGGAATCGTACCTTTTGTGGCTAGTTTCTTTCCCTCATCATTGTGTCTGTGGAATTCAACCATGTCATTGCCCTTAGCACTAGTTTATTCTTGTCTATTGCTGAATTACGTGGTATGAAAATACCACAATTTTGTCTACTCTACCAGTGACTGACATTTGAGTTTTTCCAATGTTTAGCTATTATGAATGAAGCAATTATAATTTTTCATGTACAATTTTTTTTTTTGCTAGACATTTGTCCTCATTTGGCTATACCCTGGAGCAGAATTGCTGGGTCATAGATCATAGAATTATAAAATAGTTGTATGTTTAGCAATAGTGAATTCAGCCAAACCATTTTCCAAAGGATTTGTACCAATTTACGCTCCCACCAACAAGGTCTGAGAGCTCGTTGCCCCACATTCTCCACACGGAATTGTAAGTCTTTTTAATTTTAGCCATTTAGTGTTTATGTAGAGATATTTTATCGTGGTTTGAATTTGCATTTGCCTGATAAGTAATGATATTAAGCATTTATTTAAGTACTTATTGGCCAGTTGGGCATTGCCTTTTGTAAAATGTCTATTCAAGTTTTTACAGAAATACAGTGTTACTGTATTTTACAGAAACAGTAAAAATAGACAAATTATTGACAAAAACAGACAGTGGAGCAGAATCATCTTGAGGAATTCAGCAATTTACACAACAAACCAGCAACCAGTTGCTTCCACAATTGCTAACGAGTTGCTTCAATTAGTTTACTAATTGAAACAGATCAAATAGGTGCATGACTGAATGTTTCCTGTTGAACCAGGTATTTGGATAACATGGAGATCGCCAACTTAGACTCAGGGAGCAGGGAGAAGGGAATGCAGACAAGACCCAAGAATGTAGCTAGCCCCAGCCTGAGAGGATCCCCTCCTCAACTCACTGACTGTTTTTCCTTCATTTACAGGATCCTGACAGTGATCAACCTCTGAACAGCCTCGGTAAGTAAGTTCAGGTCTGGCCTTCGTTTGTCCACCTTAGCCTCTGAGTTTCAGTTACCAACTCGATCCTAAGCCACTCTTGCCTGGCCCTCACTACTTACCAAAATGCTAGGTGCCATGGGTGACATCCAGCCACCCATCCATCCCTCATTCAGCAAACATTCCAGGATTCACTCTAGAAGTAGGAGTTCTGGTCTCTGGGGAAACAGGACCAACAAACCTAAAATCCCCAAAGCAATGATTCTCCAAAGCATTCATTCAATTACTCTTACCCTTTTAGTAAAACTGTAAGTACCGGCCATGTGCCAGGCCCTGGGCTGGATGCTGGGCTATCACAGTAATTAAGACAGCTGAAGTCTCTGTTCTCATGGAGTTCACACCATGCCGCCAAGGAACAAGCTGGCCAGAGGCATTTTCATGAAAAATGGCAGTGCTTGCCTGATTTCCAGGGGAAGAAAAATAAGTTAATAAATAGAACGATCCCAAATTTAAGGAGATATTTTCCTTCCATTACATTTTCTTTAAACCATTTATATCTACTCCTGATAGCCTGCTGGATCAGCAAAACAAATGAGCAAGGAACACATTAATAAGAACAGATCAATAAGAAAATGGCCAATCCTGCTTGCTTTGACACCTTATTTATTTCCCAGTTCTGGGTCATGAGTTAATTTTAGCAACTAAAATGGTGTCTAGTTTATACTTTGGAATTTAAAAGAAGAGTAGGGCCACGGTGTCCCCAAAGAACACCAGGGCACCAACTGCTCCACGGCCTGAGCAAGCCTGAGAACTCAAACCAGGAAACAAGCTGAATTTGCTCGAGGACCGGGGATTGACCATGCCTATGCAGAACTGGGGGTTGGTGGAAGTCCATGTGGCTCAGAGAGAGAGGTCAAATTACACTAGCTTTGAAAGATATAAGCCAGATGTGGAAGTCTCTCGTAGGCTCCGGAGTGGGAAGTGACAAGATGAAAGCAAGCTTTTAGGAAGCTCTGTCTAGCAGCAGTGGGCAGGACAGGCTGGAGAGAGGAGCAACAGCCAGCAAGGAGGGTGTACATAGCTCACTGGCTTCGTTAACTCAAACTAGCTATGAAAACTCTTCCCTTCCTGGTGGGGAAAGTGGATGGTCCCTGGGAATGTCTGGCCCTGGACAGAGGAACCCATGGCTCCCCATGGGTCACTCTCTGAGAAAACAAACCGATCTCATGTTCCCAGAGATAGGTGCTCAATAATAAATCATGTGTGAATTCATGAACAAAATGTCATCATGGCCACGGCCACAGGAAAGAGGACAATTCTGAAAAGTGGCTACTGGAGCTTTAAAAACCGCATCAGCAAACAGGACTGATAAGCTACTTTGTGCCAGGTCATAGTTCATAGGCCAGGAGTCCCCAGACTTTTTACACAGGGGGCCAGTTCACTGTCCCTCAGACCGTTGGAGGGCCAGACTATGCAAGGCGTGACACCCTTCACAGCCAGTGCTGCTGCCTCCACTATCTCAGACAGCGGTACACAGTGTCACAGGCCCAGCACCGCCTCCAGTGCTGTATACAGGGATGGCGGTGATCAGCCTGTGACACTGTGTTTACAGCGTCCTGGACATCTGCAGCAGTGGTGCGCCTCTTCTGTGGGAAGCCCACTGCTGCATGTTTCCCCTATTATAAGACACCTCCTAAAAATAAGACAGCCCCTGTCTTTTGGGGGTAAAATTAATATAAGACAGGGTCTTATAATAGGGGAAACACAGTGTGTAGTAATGTGGGGGGAGACTTTTGGGCAAAGGGAGGTTATAGAGTCCATTATGTTGTTGTACATTTGGGGGAGTATGGGGGCCATTGTACTGTGTAGTAATGGTTAGAGTGCTTTGCCTTTCTTCCTACTTCTGCTGTTATTTCACACTGCTTCCGGTGATGTGGGGCGCCGCAGCCGCAGACCAGATGTGCGTCATATGACGCGCTTCCAGAGCCATGATGTGTGCATCCCGCGTCACCAGAAGCAGTACTGTACGTGAGCGATGCCGAGCTTTGCAGCGCCACCACATACAGTACTCCAGGAGCATAGGATGCATCTGCATCACTGACCACCAATGAAAATTAATTTGATCCTGTCTCTCCACTGCTCAAAAACTTCCAGTGGCTCCTTACTGCCTTCAGGATAAAGCCCAGACTCCTTAACATGGTGTTTAAGAGTCTCCACAGCTGCCTTCACTCATCCTGCCTTCCAGCTTGCCTTTACTCCCTGGTACCCAAGCACACCAGGCAGCGCCTGAGCTGGGCCAGTGCCTACCTCCCCGCCTGCATTTAAGTGCCACCTTAAATGCAACCCAGTCTACCTTTGAAGGTGTCCCTATTATAACATATATTATGTTCCACCTGGCTCTTCCCCCAGGTGGTAATCTCTTTAAAGATAAGGACCAGGCTTCGGACTTGCTGTTTGTGGGACTGAGAATGCATTCATTCACAAATATTTATTAAGCCTCTACAAAGCCCACACTGTGCTGGAGGCCCTTGCCCACCTGGAGCTTAATGTTTAATCAAAAGCTAAGTCAGGAGATCAGGAAAAGGATAAATGGTAGCACAGTGAATGGGTACATGACCCAGGGGCTCAGGCCTCTCCCAGGCAGGAGAGGGTCAGACAGAACCCAGAAATGTCCTAGGACAGGCTTAGGCAAGACAAGGGGGAGGTGGCCTGACCTGGAGGCTCCTTTGAGGGGCACTTGTGGAAGCTGGGTAAGCCTGGATCTGTGAGAAGAGGCAGGGTGATCATGTGCTGATGAAGCTAAGCCTAGTCTGCAGTAATAACCCCCCAGCATTAACCAAAACTGTCCTCAAGGCATTCCTGACACCCACCAGAGGACAAGTGGGGATCTTGGCTTGGGGGGATCACCAAGTGCTGACTGCATGCTCTTCCCCTCTGCCTCCCATGTCCTTCCAGATGTCAACCCCCTGCGCAAATCCCGTACCCCCATGGAGACCTTCAGAAAGGTGGGGATCCCCATCATCATGGCACTGCTGAGCCTGGCGAGTATCATCATTGTGATTGTCCTCAGTAAGTGACAGCCCCTACCCGACTTCCACCCTCTGAGTAAATGACAGGGCCCACTCCCCCCAACCCCACACTCACCTCCTGAATAAGTGACAGTCCCCCACCCCTCCCTCACCCCCTCAGTAAGTGGCAGCCCCGCCCCTACCCTCATCACTTCAGTAAGTGGCAGCCCTACTTGTCTTTCACCCCCTCAGTAAGTGGCAGGCCCCACACCCACAGTCAGGGGCAGGTGATCTGCATAAAGCTTTGCAGAAAAAAATTGTTGGTATAATAAAAAGGAATTTCAGAGGCCGGGTGCAGTGACTCATGCTTGTAATCGCAGCACTTTGGGAGGCCTAAGCGGGCAGATCACGAGGTCAGGAGTTCAGGACCAGCCTGGTCAACACAGTGAAACCCTGTCTCTACTACAAACACAAAAATTAGCTGGGGTGGTGGGGTGGGGGGAGTGTCTGTAATCCCAGCTGCTTGGAAGGCTGAGGCAGGAGAATCGCTTGAACCCAGGAGGTGGAGGTTGAAGTGAGCCAAGATTACACCACTGCACTCTAGCCTGGGAGATGGAGCCAGACTCTGTCTAAAAAAGAAAAAGGAGGCCGGGCGCGGTGGCTCACGCCTGTAATCCCAGCACTTTGGGAGGCCGAGGGGGGTGGATCACAAGGTCAAGAGATCGAGACCATCCTGGTCAACATGGTGAAACCCTGTCTCTACTAAAAATACAAAAAATTAGCTGGGCATGGTGGCGCGTGCCTGTAATCCCAGCTACTCAGGAGGCTGAGGCAGGAGAATTGCCTGAACCCAGGAGGCAGAGATTGCAGTGAGCCGAGATAGCGCCATTGCACTCCAGCCTGGGTAACAAGAGCGAAACTCCATCTCAAAAAAAAAAACAAAAAAACAAAAAACAAAAAACAAAAAAACAAAAAAGAATTTGAAGAGAAAAAAAAGAGAAAGAGAGAGAAAAAAAGAAGAAAGAAAAGAAAAGAAAGAAAGAGATCATATATCCACCCCTGCTTTGAAGAGAGCCTTCTTCTAAGAGCGAGAGGGGAGATGAACTCAGCCCCCATCTGTTCCAGATGGCTTCCATCCCAGGTGATTTCTTCTAGAGGGAGAGCACAGTGGCATATGTTCCTAACCCACGCAGGCAATTTGCAGGGCCGCCACGCCCTCTGCCTCCTCCTTCCTGTCTTCTGCAGATTGCAAGCTGAGTGGCTCTGAGCAGAGGCTGGAAGAACAGGGAGCATTTCTGCTTGTGAGGAGGGCAGAAAGAGGAGGCAGTAGGGAAGATCCCCCAGGTAGCCAGCACCCGGCCCCCTTCAGCTTAGCCTTCACCATGGCCAGTGCCTGAGGCCCAGCGTGGTCTTGACCAGGCCTCTCTGCCTCGGCCCCTTATTTGTGATAAAGAAGAATCAACCGAAGGAGCAGGAATGTGGGACCCCTTCAGCTCCCACACCCTACGATGGAGTCATTGCCTTTGTTACCTACATGAGCATAGCAGGTTACTGACCACAACTTTTCACAGCAGGGAGTAGGGCACTGGGGACCCGACTGGGAATCAGGGGGCCAGACTAGGAATCAGGACACCTGGGACAGGGATCCTGGCTCTGCCACTTGCTGCTGCTCAACCTTGTACCCTCAGTCTCCTCAACTGTAAAATGTCCTTCCTTCCGCAGAGCTATATCATGAGCACCAATGAGATAACATATGTAAAGGACCTGGCTAAAAGCTGAGTTTTGCAAAAAAGGTGTGTCATCACACAGCAGCAGGTGCAATGTGACACAGGACATGCATTTGCTAACTGGGGCTGGACTGCCTGTGCAGCCAGGGAATAGCTGACCTTTCAGGAACCTGCACTTATAATTGTGGTGACATTTCCAGCAGTAGCAGCCAACTGTCTGGTCGGAGGACACTGAGAGAGCATCTGATCCTCTTTCTACACGAGCACTGAGGCTTGGAGAGGCGGAGTGGCAGTCAGGGACAGGGCTGGGACAAGACCCTGGTCCCCTGATTGAACAGGGCTATTTCCATCTGTGGCAGTAGAAATACAGATCATAACATAAAACCCACTCAGAGCCCTGGATGGGTGTGAGATGCAGATAACCCCAGACCATTTCTCCTTGACCTTGGCTGCCCACATGATGAAGATTTGCAGTGACATCAGGAGACTTGCCAGCCTGTTCTGTTCAGGCTAATGTTAAAGCAAGCTTGCTTTCTGTGAGCAGACACACTGCCACAGTTGAGAGAAAAGGGGCCAGAGTTATCTGGGGAACGCCGGGCAGGCACTAAAGCATAATTGAGAGCTGGACACTCCCTGTCCCAGAAGGTTCTGCATGGCTTCCACATCCCAGATTCTGCAATCAGAGGTTGTAACCCAGTCCTCCATCCTGAGCTGGACTCCCTCAACCTTATGGCTTCTGGAGTCTCAACTGGTGACGCTGTCTCCTGGCTTTGTCCCAAGAGGTTGGGGTGACTCTACGTTACCCTGGCTCCTATCATAAACCAAACTCAAAGAAATGGCTCCTCCTCCTTCCTGGCTTCACTCAGGCCAGAAGCATCAGGGCCAGCAGATCGCATCTCAAGCTCCCCCAGGAAGTTAGACGGACCCTGGCTGTACACTGGAAGCACTGTGTGGCCTGGGAAAATAAAGGCTAGCCTTCAATTCTCCATGTCCCTATTTGTAATGTGAGTTAATAATGATACCTCCCTCCCAAGACTGTTACCAGGATTACATGAGGAAATGCATGGAAAGCTCCTGACACAGTGACAAGCAAGGACCATTGTTAGATTTAATGCCATTACTCTTAGGACCAGCCCAGAGTGACACTGGACTGGACAGTGGAGCATCAGGCCAAGAGAGAGTTCAGTGAGGAAGGAGGAGTTCCCTCCTGCCAGGGTGTTGGGCTGTGAGTCTTCACTAAGGAAAGCTTGTTTGTTTGAGACAAGTTCTTGCCCTGTCTCCCAGGCTAGAGTATAATCGTGTGATCACGGCTCACTGTAGCCTCAAACTTCTGGGTTCAAGCAATCCTCCTGCCTCAGCCTCCAACGTAGCTGGTATCACAGGTGCACACCACCATGCCTGGCTAATTTTTTAATTTTTTTGTAGCGACAAGGGTCTTACTATGTTGCCCAAATTGGTCTTGAACTCCTGGGCTCAAATGATCCTCCTGCCTTGGCATTCCAAACTGCTGGGATTACAGGTGCGAACTACCATGCACGGCCAGAAAAAAATATTAAAGTATCAGTTCCCTGAAGGGTTAAACGTGCTGAACATATTCCCATCATCCCAAGATGGCAAAAGAGCAACAGAATTTGAAAGCAGCTGGCAGAATCCGAAGACAGTAAGCAGAAACAAAACAGAACCAAGGACCAACCCCTTAACAGAGCTTTCTTTATTTTTCTTAATTTTAGTTATTTTTATTTATGTATTTTAATTACTTGTTTCTTCAACTTTTATTTTATTTTATTTTATTTTATTTTTAGAGATAGAATTTCACTCTTGTCGCCCAGGCAGGAGTAAAATGATGCTATCTTAGCTTACTGCAACCTCTGCCTCCCGGGTTCAAGTAATTCTCCTGCCTCGGGCTCCCGAGTAGCTGGGATTATAGGCACCCGCCACCATGCCCAGCTAATTTCTGTATTTTTAGTAGAGGCAGGGTTTCACCACGTTGGCCAGGCTGATCTTGAACTCCTGACCTCATGTGATCCACCCGCCTCCGCCTCCCAAAGTGCTGGGATTAAAGGCATGAGCCACCACACCCAACCCCTTCAACTTTTATTTTAAGTTCTGGGGTACATGTGCAGGACGTGCAGGTTTGTTACGTAGGTAATCATGTGCCATGGTGGTTTGCTGCACAGATCAACCCTTCACCAAGGTATAAAGTCCAGTGACCATTAGCTATATTTCCTGATGGTCTCCCTCCCCCTGCCTTCCCCCCCAACAGGCCCCAGTGTGTGTTGATCCCCACCTCCATGTGTCCATGTGTTCTTATCATTTAACAGTTCTTTCACCCAAATAAAAGCACCCAACTCTAGAACTATACTTGAGAGTTATGAGACATTTTCACAACTACCATCATACCACATGCTCTCAACAGTTACATAGGCAGATATTATAGATATTATCATCCCATTGTACAGATGAGGAAACTGAGAACTAAGAAGGGAAAGTGATCCGTATAAAGTTGCACATTATGGCCAGGCGCAGTGGCTCATGCCTGTAATCCCAGCACTTTGGGAGGCCGAGGTGGGTGAATCACCTAAGGTTAGGAGTTTAAGACCAGCCTGGCAAACATGGTGAAACCCATCTCTACTAAAAATACAAAAAATTAGACGAGTGTGGTGGCACGTGCCTGTAATCCCAGGTACTCGGGAGGCGAAGGTTGCAGTGAGCCGAGATCGCGCCACTGCACTCCAGCCTAGGCAACAGAGCAAGACTCCATCTCGAAAAAAAAAAAAAAAAAGGTTGCACAGTAGGTAGCAGAGCTAGGACTCAAAACTGGGTCTTCAGACTCCAGGTTCTTCCTCTGTTACCAGAGCGTACTAAACCAGGACTAGCAGGTAAGAGGCAGGTGCCAACCTGTTTCTCGATTTCCCTCACCCACAAGACCTCTCTTGACTCCTCAGACATCTTGTGTGCATGGGGCCGGTGTTACTATCTCCACTTTACAGACAAGGAAGCGAAGGCCCAGGCCCAGCTTTCTTGTCTGTAAGCTTCAAGTCTATGTGCTACCAAGTAGCAAAACTGGGCCTGGAACTCACGCACGCGTGTCTGCGAGCCCAGTGCTATCTCCAGGAAAACACAGCCTCTCCCTGCTCAAGCCTGACTCTCCGCTTCTCTGCCCCTCCCTGCACTTGCCTTCCAGTCAAGCTGATTCTGGATAAATACTACTTCCTCTGCGGGCAGGCCCTCCACTTCATCCCAAGAAGCCAGCTGTGTGACGGGGAACTGGACTGTCCCTTGGGGGAGGACGAGGAATACTGTGTCAAGAGCTTCCCCGAGGGGCCTGCAGTGGCAGGTGAGTGCAGGGTCTGAGGGGGAAGAGGAGTGGGCTCAGCAGGAGGTCTGCTCAGGCCCCCATGACCCACTGCATAGCATCTGCCACCTACTTGTCACTTTTCATCCTTGTTGTATAAGGTTCTTGTTTTGGTTTGGTTTGGTTTGGTTTGGTTTGGTTTTGAGACAGAATGGTCTGTTGCCCGGCCTGGAGTGCAATGGCTTGGTCTCTGCTCACTGCAACCTCCGCATACTGGGTTCAAGTGATTCTCCTGTCTCAGCCTCCCAAGTAGCTGGAATTACAGATGCCTGCCACCATGCCTGGCTAATTTTTGTATTTTTAGTAGAGACGGGGTTTCGCCAGGTTAGACCGGCTGGTCTCGAACTCCTGACCTCAGATGATCCACCTGCCTCGACCTCCCAAAATGCTGGGATTACAGGCATGAGCCACCGCACCCAGCTGTATAAGTTTCTTGAGAGCGGGACCATGTCTTCTCTACCTTTATATCCCAGTACTTGACACTCAGCAAACAGTAACTATTTGATGGACAAATGTGAGTCAGAAAAAAACAGAAAATTGTCACTGAGCCTGCCCCATTCCTGCTGCACCTGGGTGAGTTTCAGGCAGAGGGCTAGATTGGGTGACCTTGGGGCGTTCCTCCTTTCTATGAGATCCATTATTTCAAGGAGACTAGAGAAGAGACTACGCAGCCACTTGGCCAGCTATCGGTCCTTCTATTCATTAGTGTTTGTTGAGATACGCTTTGTGACGCGGCTGAGCCAGGTCCTCCCAATGAATAGATGTTTTGAGCATAAAACCCATGTTCTCTATTGGACTGGGCTCTTCTACCTTCATCCCCCTGGTGCTTGGGCTCTGAAGAAAAAAGAGAGCTAGGAGTTGGGTGATGGGGCTTCTGAGGGCAAGGCTGAGTGACTTCCTCTGCATTTGCCCTTTCTTTATCAGAAGTCAAATGCCCACAAGCACCTGTCACCCTACTGCCAATAGGACTTCTCACTCCACCTCCCACTCTGACCTTACCCGGAGAAGGACCTAGGTTCCTCTCTGAGAAGTTTCCCCAGGCTGGGCAAGTTGTATGGACCATGGATGGATGTGTGGTCCATCCAATTTAAACGAGTTGTATATGGTCACTGCGTAAAGTGACCGCATAATTGATCGCCAACACTGATACCTGTAAGAGCAAAAAGGGGCACTATGAAGCCAGGGTAACAGGTCAAAATGGACGCTGACCCCAAGACACCCAGTCAGGCTAGCTACTGTCAAAATGAGGCCCAAATAGACAAAGTCAAATGGAGGAAATTCCCTTGATGTTGAAAGTGTTGGGGCTCTGTGGTACCCCCAGTTCTCAGTTGGGAGAGCTTGGGCTGGTCTCATGATGAGTTCTGAGGGGGATCGGCCAGACAGACGTCCTCCCTTCCATCTAACCCAGCTTCCTTTCCTCCCAGTCCGCCTCTCCAAGGACCGATCCACCCTGCAGGTGCTGGACCCGGCCACAGGGAACTGGTTCTCTGCCTGTTTCGACAACTTCACAGAAGCTCTGGCCGAGACAGCCTGTAGACAGATGGGCTACCGCAGGTAAACAATCGGCGTCTCTCTCCTTTTTCCCTCCCTCTTCTTTCCTCCTCTGCCCCCTTTCCTTCCTCCCTTCTACTCTGTTTCCTTAAAAATACAGGCATTGGAGCCAGGCGGAATTGCTTTTGAATCCCAGCATTTCACTTATAAGCATCAGGAAGTTAAATTTCCTAAGCCTCAGGTTCCTCAAGAGTGAATTGAGGGAAGTAATGCCAACCTCATAGGATGGTTATGGAATGCCAAAGAGAGAATGTGTGTGCCCTCCAACACACACACACACACACACACACACACACACACACACACACACACACTTCTAGCTTCTATACAGTCCTCGCCTTTCCTTTACCCCTCAACCTTCACTCCTTTGTCCTGACTTTGCAAGAAACTGTTCCTGCCCAGTAATACAAAACCCTAATTAACTTATTCAAAGTTTCGTTGGTTAAGATTTAGCTTAAGTGAGCCTAGTTCCAGTGCGGCCCCATCTTCAGCCATCCCAGATCTCTCTGCAAATTTCAAAAGCAGTTCCAAATCTGGAGTAGATGAAAAGGTGTAAGATTATAATAAGAGTAATTTGCATTTTTTATATTTATATTCATTTGATTTTGGCAGAAAACCAAAAAGATGGTTATTATATCTATTTCATAAATAGACTCAAAGAAAGTAAGTAACTTGCTAGGGTAGCAGTTGGGAGGTAGAGGGCTGGATCTTGAGCCCAAGACCCCTAATTTTTGTGCATTAGGAGTTCTCATAGTGTTTCTGTTTCTAGACTGGGTAATTCTTTATTCTCATGCAGAACCCACGCATTCAGTGCAGAGTGAGATAACCTATCTCTGGCAGGCTTCAAACTTCTTCAGGATTCTAAGAGACTGGACCCAGAGACTAGGCCAAAAAAAAAAAAAAAAAAAACCAAAAGACAAAAAACAGAAAAATCTCTACCAGACAGACATCACCAATCAATCACAGAACTATCTCCCGTGGATCCCTAACGCAGCCTCAAAGTCCTTTTTCAGTAAATGCTCCAGGCAGCCATTACAAATTAATCTGAATTCTTTGCCGCTCTCTTCTCTGCTCATCAGGCTTCTGCTCCTCTCTGCTGTCCGTGGGGTGCAACTTCCAGTACCCTCTAGAAAGCATACCCTGCCACCTTCATTTCAAGGAGAGTGAGAAAGTTATGCCTCAACCTGCTATTCTCTCCTCTTCCGGCAGGAGCCCAGCCTCGCTGAGGCCGGCCCCTCCTCCCCACTGCAGTCCGGTCAGCCCGGTACCTAGCACAGCAGGCTGAGGCTTGAGGGTGAAACCCAGGTGTCTCCAGGGGTTCTTAAGGTGGCAGGCTCCTGGAATTTCTGTCCTTTTGGAGCTCACTAAGGCACCAAACCACCTGACTCTTGTACTTTACAAAATCAAAGTTCATCAGAATCATTCATTGGGATGGAATTGGTGAACAGAAGTTAATTCCCATTTCCTGGGAATGTCCATTTCCATCATATTCCCTCCTTCTAGATCTCAGATTTCTCTACTTTCCTCCCTCTAGATTGGAGGTCCTTCTCCTGGTCCATGTGTTTTGTTTTTTTTGTTTTTTGTTTTTGTTTTTGTTTTTTTTGATAGGGTCTCACTCTGTCACCCAGGCTGCAGTGCAATGGGGCAATCTCAGATCACTATAACTCCCACCTCCCAGGTTCAAGCGATTCTCTCACTTCAGCCTCCCGAGTAGTGGGGATTACAGGCATCTGCCATTATACCTGTCTAATTTTTGTATTTTTGTAGAGACAGGGTTTCACCATGATGGCCAGGCAAGTCTTGAAGTCCCGACCTCAGGTGATCCACCCACCTCAGCCTCCCAAAGTGCTGGGATTGCAGGCATGAGCCACCACGCCCGGCCCCATACATCTTTTTAGAGAGGGGGAAACTGAGGCTTGGAGAGACCCAGAAAAAGAATGCAAACTGCCCAAGGCCACACATCAAACTAGTGCTAGAGCCAGGGACAGAACCTAGATTATGAGGACTCTTAAAACAGACTCTAGTCCTCCCAGGTCCAAGACTTGGGTACTCCTAGGAAGTGCCAGCATTCCTGCCTGAGAATGTACCAATCCGCCAGTACCACTGATTGACCAAGCCCTCCATGGAGGGCTTCTACTAGCATTACTAGCATGGTTGGGGATGGAAGGAAGAGATTTAGAAGAGGCAGATTTAGTAAATGAACAATCAGAGAGATGGAATTAATCAGGGAAGGCTTCCTGGAGGAGGAAAAAACTTCAACCCAAGGTTCGAAAGCAGGCAAGCATGGATTAGCAGAGAGAAAGAGGGAGGGTGGTCCAACTGAGAGAAATGTTTGTCTGGATTCACATGAAGACAAATCCAGTCCTGTTCTATTAAATAACTCTAAGGGGGCCAAAAACATACCCCCACCATCAAAGTCAGACTAGATGCCTTGTTTGGAGAACCAAATATCCACATTCCGACTCCCTCCCAGGTGAGAAGGGAGCTATCCTGGGCCCCTATGCCTCTTTATTTCCCGGCTATGAACCAGAAGACGTTGCTGGGATATTTGAAATAGGGACAAAGCTGGGAGTTTGGAAAGGAGACCTCCGACTCCTAACATTTCTCCAGGGCTCTGGGTTCTGGATTTAGAGTCCCCGCCCAAGAAAGCAAGTCACATCAGCACTGCACCAAGGCTTGAGTCGGGGGATGCCGAGGGTATGTTCTTTACTGTATAAAGCAGGCCCCATCTTCACTGACTAAGACTGCCTCCGCTCCCCTGCCTCTCCCCACCAGGCATTCTCTGCCACTCTGTCTCCTGAGAGTGGGGGCCAACGCTGCTATCTTGTTCCAACCCCCTGCCCCCAGCTCACAACTCTCTCTCCCTCTTGATTCGAGCAGCAAACCCTCTTTCAGAGCTGTGGAGATTGGCCCAGACCAGGATCTGGATGTTGTTGAAATAACAGAAAACAGCCAGGAGCTTCACGTGGGGAACTCAAGTGGGTAAGTGAGGGGCCTCCTTCTGGCCTACAGAAGGCCCACACGTGGACGCTGCTCTTCAGGCTGTAACCAGCTTACCTGGAATGCCAAGCGGTCAGGGGAATGTCAGGCAGACATCAGGAAGAACTCCCAGCCAGACAGATCACTCAATGCCAAGAGCTACAGACTCACATTTCGGAGAGGTTTTCTGTGTTGACTTGTTTTTAACACAGTGGACAGCTGGACAAAGTGACTGTCCTACTTGAAGCCAGAGGGATGGATAAGGTGACCTTTCCATCAACCTAGATAGTAAGTAGTTTTTGCTACTGCTGTAGGTTTTCTAATAAATTGCCCGATAGGCAAGATTCCAATGTCACTTTGTCCTTCCCTAACGCTTACCCAGCCAGAGCTGCCCGCCTGCTTGAGGCTCCAGGGAAGAGGCTCCCTGGCCCTTGTAGGTGGCCTCTCCCTGAGCCTTGCCACCCTGCGTTAGAGCACAGCATCCGGATGAAATCTGTCACACTGCTGCAAAGTGGCTCAGAGAGGAGGCTGGCTTCTTAGCATTCAGGGACGTTGCTGAGGGCTGCTTATTCACCGAAAGTAAATCTTGAAAAGGACAGGGTTGGTAGCAGAACGATCCTTTGCCTAAAATGCCATCAAAATCCCATTCTTCCATTTGGAAAGCTTGCAGCGCTCTAGACTCTGTTCCAGGCTCTGCCCTCTTCCCTCTCAGGTCCCAGGATCCCAGGCTGGGCTTTGAGGCAGGCAGGGCCCAGCACACAGTAGGTGCTCAGCTGTGGGGGTGTTGAATCCAACCACAGGGAAATGTCAGTGCAGGAAATGCAACGATGTCAATGCAGTCTCCAGGTGTTCTCCACTGTGCATCTCCAGATTCCCAGGTACTGGGGGGACTTGAATTAACAGCACCAGCAGGCCTGAGTCCCTGCCTCCCAGCTGAGGGAGACGCTTAAATCACAGGGCACTGTGTCTGTCTTCCAGGCCCTGTCTCTCAGGCTCCCTGGTCTCCCTGCACTGCCTTGGTGAGTACCCCCGATCTCTGAGGGTTTGGGGCCCGGGCCAGCAATGAGCAAGCAGGAAGACCTTCATCTTCACTCTTAAATTTCTGGGAATCCAAGTTTCCTCTGCTTGGATCCACAGCCCTTGGCCTTGCAGGTCAATGCTCCCTCAGGCTGTGGTGTGAAGCACTTTCTTCTACCATCCACGTGGCTCCACAACCTGAGTGGAGACCTGGGAGAGGGCGTTAGGAAGACTGCAAAGGGCAGGATGGGGCCCCCACTGCCTCCCACCCATGGTCAGGGCCCAAGAAGCCTTTTTTGTCACAATCAGCTCAGGTATCCAAGATCAGGTTACCCACATTTATTATTTGAGCAAATATTCATTGAACTGTTAGAATATGTCTCACTCTGTCAGTTGCTGGTTAAAAGTAGAAAACACCAGATGAGTGACATAACTGGCCCCTATCCTTGGTAGCTTATGACTAAATAAGAGAGAGATGCAAGACAACATGTGCAAAATGCGAAACTGAGTAGCAGCCACAGTAGACATGCTGCAGAGAGAGCTGGAAGAGGGCCGGAAGACCCATTCACTTCCGGTGTGGCCTTGAGTCACTCACCTGACCTCCCTGAAGTTCATTTTCCTAAGAAGTCGTTTAGTCCAACTGCCCACTAAGGATCTCTAGGGACCCTTTTAGCTCTAAGAGAGGAGATCCGAAAAGAAATGAAGCAGTATGGCTCAGCTCATCCCACCAGCTTCATGGAGAACTGAGATGGGCCTGGAAGGATAACCAGAAATTAGAACGCCTAAGAGACGAAGGTCACAGCACTGCCTCTGCAGTTTAGGAGTGCATACACGTCCCTGTAGGACACTGAGAGTTTAATTCATTATTGTGTACCCCACCACCGCCATCCCACAATACCTAGTGTGTGGGATCTGACACGTGGTGGTTGGTCAATGAATGAATGGATGGATGGATGGTCACACCATCTGAGGTTCTGCACTGAGTAGCCCTGAAGGCATGAAGGAGGATAAGTGGCAGGTCCTCCCTTGAGGGGTCTCAGTCTTGCCAAGAAGACAAGACCTAAGCACAACCACACTGAAAGACTGGCCAACACCTGGGACAGCCTGTGGGAATTCCAGAGAAAGGGAAATGGGACTGGGGGCCCAGGCTGAGCACTGAGAAATGCATCTGTAGGCTCAAGGAGGGAAAACCCATGTCTGTCTGTCCTGCCCACCACTCTCGCAACATCCAGCCCTGCTCCAAGATGTAGGGCACTCGACACAAATTGGTTAGATTAATGAATGATTTAGAATTCAGTGGTCACCAACCTTTTTGGCACAAGGGACCATTTGCATGAAAGACAATTTTTCCACAAACCAAGCGGGGAATAGAGATTAGATTCACGCTCTCTCTTTTTTTTTTTTTTTTTTTTTTTTTTTTTTTTTGAGACAGAGCTTATCATCCAGGCTAGAGTGTAGTGTCACGATCTCCACTCACTACAGCCTCCACCTCCTGAGTTCAAGTGATTCACCTGCCTCAGTCTCCCAAATAGCTGGGATTACAGGTGCCCGCCACCACGCCCCACTAATTTTTGTATTTTTAGTAGAAATGGGATTTCACCATGTTAGCCAGTCTGGTCTTGAACTCCTGACCTTAGGTAATCTGCCAGCCTGAGCCTCCCAAAGTGCTGGGGTTACAGGCATGAGCCGCCGCACCCAACCTAGATTCTCATTAAGGAGCACACAACATAGATCCCTCACATGTGCAGTTCACAGTAGGGTTTGTGCTCCTATAAGAATCTAGTGCCACCTCTGATCTGACAGAGGTGAAGCTCAGGTGGCGATGCTCACTTGCCCTTGCCGCTCACCTCCTGATGTGGAGCCGTGTTCCTAACAGGCCATGGACCAGTACTGGTTTGAGGTCCGGGGGCTGGGGACCCCTGATTTTGAGAGCCAGGAGAGGATGCAGCATTTCAGAGAAGGGCATCTTTTTGGATCAAAAACAGAATGACTTTTTAGAGAACTACAAGCAGATCAATTTGGCTAGACGAAACTTTATATGAAACAGCAGGAGGCTCCCAGGAGTGGAAACTCTGCTTTGCCTCAAGGGAGGTCCTCAAGGGCTTCGGTGAGTGGGCAAGGTGGCGTGGAGAAAGCAGTGTTTGAAATCAGATGGTGTTTGAAAAGCACCAGCCTAGCACGGCACCTGACATGTTGGAAAGGGAAGCAGCCTTTCCCTCTTAGAATGGCCACCGTGGTGGTGGCTGCCAGAAGAATTGGAGAGGCAGCTCATGGGTGGAGAGGTGGGACCTGAGGGCTGTGCCGAAGTTCTGGGGGTGTTGGGGGTGTGAAAGCCAGGTCAGTGGGAAGACAGAATATCAGATTGAGAGACTCCCCTGGCAAGGGGAACAGACTTGGAGAAGGGGGAGTTTGAGATGGGACAGTCCACTCCCCAGTCACGAAACAGCTTGTGGGTGTCTGTTTACTGTTAGTCAGTGAGTGTGGCTGGGGGACACACCACCTGGGCAGGGCTTCTGTAATTCTGCATCACTTGTGAAGGTCACGAATTCTCAGCACAACAGACACACCCGTGTTCATAGTCCGAACTCCTAAACACATCCTGAACAACAACAAAAAGACGGAGAGGGAGGTTTGGGGAAAGCCTGTGGTCTGGGACACTCGGTATCTCCCCATGAATAACTCAAATTGGCCTGGTCCGCTCCCCATTCTGGCCCCAGCCATAAGGGCCCTGCTCAGGGCAGATGTTGGGTGCTAAGGGGAGGTAGCCTCATTCCCAAGAGCCTGACATCCTGCCTCCTCCCTGCCTCTGCCTGCATCCAGCCTGTGGGGAAAGCCTGAAGACCCCCCGCGTGGTGGGTGGGGAGGAGGCCTCTGTGGATTCTTGGCCTTGGCAGGTCAGCATCCAGTACGACAAACAGCACGTCTGCGGAGGGAGCATCCTGGACCCCCACTGGGTCCTCACGGCAGCTCACTGCTTCAGGTAAGGCCCCAGCTATAAGGAGGTCTCGGGGAACCAAGGCCAGTCAGGGGCCAGAGACCTTGGGGCCCTGTCTCCTGACACCCTCCTGCTCTTCATTCTCCCACTAGAGACGTTTGCCAGGGTGTGGCAGCCCCAATGAGACAATGGCCGTGACGCCCTTTGTTAGGCTTTTGGGTGGTCTGGGCAGAGGGTGCTCGTCACCAAGCAAGGCCTCTTCCCAGTGGGACACCATAAGAGACCCAGAGTCCTCACCCTACCAGTATGCCATTCAAGCCACAAAACCTCTTCCCACCTGCCTAAAGTTCCAAGAACTCACTATTCTTTTGCTTGTTTCCAGGAAGTTGTTCCAGGGCCTAGAGTGACTGCCACTTCCTCATTAGGTCCAGAAATTTTTAAAAAAAATTTTTTAAGCATAGATTCCTTTTTAGTCCACAGAGAGGCCTGGCTATACCTCTGGGATGGGCCACTCCCTTTCAGTTTTGTTTGTTTCTTTGTTTGTTTGTTTGTTTGTTTGTTTAGAAAGAGTCTTGCTCTGTCGCCTAGGCTGGAATGCAGTGGCAACATCTTGGATCACTGCAACCTCCGCCTCCCGTGTTCAAGCAGTTCTCCTGCCTCAGCCTCCCAGGTAGCTGGGACTAAAAGCATGTGCCACCACACCCGGCTAATTTTGTTATTTTTCATAGAGACAGGGTTTCACCATGTTGGCCAGGCTGACCTCGAACTCCTGACCTCAAGTGATCTGCCCACCTCAGCCTCCCAAAATGCTGGGATTATAGGCATGAGCCACTGCATCCAGCCCCCCTTCACTTTTATTCGATCATTCACTCAACATCTGATGAGCACCTGCCAGGTACCAAGCATCAGATGATGCACCCAAGTGGATTAGACTCCACTGCTGTCTTCAAGGCACTCACAGTCTAGGTTAGCATTTCTTAACTTTGTTGTTGTTGTTGTTGAGATTCTGGTGAGAGCTATAAATTCTTTGCTGGAAAACATCCCTGCACACTAAGCTGTGCCTGGCATTGGGGAAAAGACAGGCAAGCATGTAACTTAGCTGACAGCACGGGTAATGATGGAAAAGGGTGGTGGAGAGAGCGCCAGGACCCTGTGAGTAACTGACATTGGCCATGGCCCTGCTCAGGCATTGAAGAGCCCCTTCCTCAGCCCTCCTTGAAGTGTCCTCAGGCAGGTTTCACTGAGGAAAAAGATCAAATCCCCTTTTTGAATCTGGCTTCTTATAAGTGCCAAAAGACTGCTCCTTCTCCACCATCATCTTTCCCTCCCAAGGCAGTGACACCTAACACCCTGGTCCCCAGGGCGCTGGGGACCCAGCCTTTGGCAAAGCCTCCTCAGACCAGCTGTCTCTGCCCCCAGGAAACATACCGATGTGTTCAACTGGAAGGTGCGGGCCGGCTCAGACAAACTGGGCAACTTCCCATCCCTGGCTGTGGCCAAGATCATCATCATTGAATTCAACCCCATGTACCCCAAAGACAATGACATTGCCCTCATAAAGCTGCAGTTCCCACTCACTTTCTCAGGTGAGAAGCAGGGCCCAAGCCCACCCAGTTTTCACGCCCACTCTGCTACTAGCTCACTGAGCAGCCTTGGCACATCATTTCTCCTCTCAAGACCTCAGCTTGCCCATTTGTCTCTAACTAATACATCAGCCTAATGTCATTGATGCCATGAGGCCCCCTCAAGCTGTGAGCTAACACCTCTACTCCATGCCGGAGAGTCTTCCAAGGCCTGTCTTCTCTATGTGGAGCCCCTCAAGTGAGCGCTGGAGTTTCGTCCAATCTGGCAGTTGTAGGAGACCTTTTGAAAAGATTATCGGACTCATTCTCCACCGCTGACCAATATCCAGGAGCCTGCCCAGTATCCCTGCCAAGGAGTCATTGTGCCCGTTTGCTCTCCTCCAGGGGTAGGACATCCATTACTAGTGAGGCAGCCGCAGAGCTGAATAGCTCTGTGGGAGGCCTTGAGCTTATATGGAAAAGTATTTAGATCAGCAGTCCCAACTGTGGGGTTCCCAAGGCACTGGCCCCTTGGAGAAGAGAGGATTCCATTGTCAAATACGTTTGGAAAACATTTCATGCTACAGCTCCCTTCTTGGAGCACATTTGTTTATTAAAGGTATGATAAGTTTTTAAATAGTCTGTTTTATTGCATTTCACCGACACTTTCTAAATTGATTTGACCACAGAATCCTTTCTTCATGCCCCTTCTACTAGCATTCCATAGACCAAGTGTTCTAGAGACCCTGGTGTGACCCTTTTCAGAGAGCTGAACTGCCAGGCTCTCCTGAATCCTGGGTGTGCTTCAAGATTTGTACCTGGGAATTGTTTTAATTGGGTATGGTAAGGTGACAGATACAGACACCACTATCTTTGAAAGAAGAGTTTAGCCGGGTGCGGTGGTGCGTGCCTGTAGTCCCAGCTACTCGGGAGGTTGAGGTGGGAGGATCGCTTGAGCCCAGGAGTTCTGGGCTGTAGTGCTCTGTGCCGACTGGGTGTCTGCACTAAGTTCGGTACCAATATGGTGACCTCCAGGGAGCGGGGGACCACCAGGTTGCCTAAGGAGGAGTGAGCCAGCCCAGGTCGGAAACAGAGCAGGTCATAACTCCAGTGCCGATCAGTAGTGGGATTGCGCCTGTGAATAGCCACTGCACTCCAGCCTGGGCCACATAGTGAGACCCCATCTTTAAAAAAAGAAAGAAAGAAGAGTTTATTACTCATAGTATCTGAGAGAAAAGGACATACCTCCTCACACAGGGACACCTGGGAAAGCAGCCAGGTCGTCCAGGAGGCAGGAGCAAGGGGAAGGCATGGCCCAGAGTCACCTGTGGCATCCATGGGCAGGTCTGGCCAAGGTAGGTTAGGCAAGATTGAGCACACTTGGGATTGGATAGTGTGAACAGTTCTCTAGGCTATAGAGGTCGGCCTCTGGTTGTCTGGTATCTGTCCCTGGGGTGATTTAGGGCAGGGAATATATTGGCTTGGTGTCTGAGAGTCAGGTAAACAAAGTGGTTGGGGATATGGGCTTTGGGTTGGCCGGTTTGTGCATTAAAGGCATGCCCACAGGCAAGTTGTTTACTATCTGCAGGAATTAGCTGACCCAGTCTACCCCAGACCAGCGAGATACCCATCATGACAAAGCATCATAATTTATAGAAAATTAAAAATTATGAATAAAAGATCTTCTTCCTCTGTGCTCCTGGCAGGCACAGTCAGGCCCATCTGCTTGCCCTTCTTTGATGAGGAACTCACTCCAGCCACCCCTCTCTGGGTCATTGGATGGGGCTTTACAAAGCAGAATGAAGGTAAGTCCTGGGCTCAGGACCACAAGGCAGGAGATGCCCTTGTATGAGGGAGCAGCTTCCAGAAGTGATGGGAAGAAGGACCACCCTTCAGAGAAACCCATCCCAGAGGACCAAGCACCAAGGCACCAGGCAGAAAGCAAAGTGGTTTGGCAATCCAGGGCTGGGGTATAGAAGGCAAGCACAAGAATGTGAGTGTTTTCACCCTCCCAGGGAAGCTGTCTGACACACTGCAGCAGGCATCAGTCCAGCTCATTGACAGTACACGGTGCAATGCAGACGATGCGTACCAGGGGGAAGTGACCGAGAAGATGATGTGTGCAGGCATCCCAGAAGGGGGTGTGGACACCTGCCAGGTGGGGCCTCCAAGGATCGTGGGGAGTTCTAAGAATAGGATGTAAGTCCTAGAGAGATGAGAAAACACAGAGGCTGCATGCCCCACTGGAAGCCTTGCATGTGATGGGCACTCAGTATGTGAAGATGGGAGGAAGAGAGAGAATGAGGAAAGGAAAGGATACAGTCAGATAAAGATATATGAATAGAGGGGTGGGTGGTGAGTGGATGGATGGGTGGATGGAGACAAGCAGAGAGATTTCAAATGTCTCTTTAACATTCAAAGATGACATTACTGGCTAGGTGTGTTAACTCACGCTTGTAGTTCCGGCACTTTGGGAGGCTGAGGCAGGCAGATCACTTGAGGTCAGGAATTAAAGACCAGCCTGGCCAACATGATGAAACTCCATCTCTACTAAAAAAAAAAAATGCAAAAATTAGCCGAGTGTGGTGGTGCACCTGTAATCTCAGCTACTTGGGAGGTTGAGACAGGAGAATTGCTTGAACCTGGGAGGCAGTGGTTGCAGTGAGCCGAGATCATGCCACTGCACTCCAGCCTGAGTGACCTAGCAAGACTCCATCTCAAAACACCAAAGATGACACTACTCATCCTCCCGCCCACCCTTCTCACTAGCTATGGAATGATGAGCCCCTCAGGTCAGGAATCCCAAGTCCATTTTCTCTGGGGTTGCCCCCAAGCTGCTGAACCACAATAGGGAAGAAGTGCCTCCTGCAGGATGCTGGAAGAGCCCCTGTGCGTGCCCCTCTCCCAGACCTTGTGGACCATCAGGACTGCTTAGCAATCCCTGTAGACTTTCTTCCTGCCCCATACTTCCAGAGGATCCTCTGAACCATTTTCTTTTTTTATTTTCTCTCTATCTCTCTCTCTTTTTTTTAAGTAGAGACAGGGTGACTATGTTTCCCAGTCTGGTTTCAAACTTCTGGGTTCAAAAGATTCTCCGACCTCAGCCTTCCAAAGTACTGGGTTTACAGGCATAAGCCATCATGCTTGGCCTGAACCATTTTCATTCAAACCCCTGCCCTACTCTCACCTCCATTGAATTCCTTCATTTAAGAGGCATCTCTTAATTGTCGCTTGTGTGCCATGAACACGGTAGTCTGGTAGTCTTTTTTTTTTTTTTTTTTTGAGTCAGACTTTTGCTCTGTTGCCAGGTGGAGTGCAATGGTATAATCCCAGTTCACTGCAACCTCCTCCTCCTCCTGGATTCAAGCGATTCTCCTGCCTCAGCCTCTTGAATAGCTGGGATCACAGGCACGTGCGACCATGCCCAGCTAATTTTTGTACTTTGGGTAGAGATCGGGTTTCACCATGTTGGCCAGAATGGTCTCGATCTCTTGGTCTCATGATCTAACCATCTCGGTCTCCCAAAGTGCTGGGATTACAGGTGTGAGCCACCGTGCCCGGCTACATGGCAGTCTTTGAAGACCCCTCAGGGAGCTCATAGTGGTTGGGGGAAAGGAGATCATTAAACAGGCATTTTGGCTACAGTTTTGGGTTCAGAGGGAGGAAGTCCCAGGGGCTATAAGAGCTGTTAGGGACTCCCAGATAAGTGTACTTTTCATTATCTGGCATTTTCTTTTTTGCTGTTTGCTTGTTTACTGTCTCTCTCACCCCATTTGAACCTAAGCTTTCTGAGGGCAGAGATCTTTGTTTTTTTCATCAATTGGATCCCAATTGCTTAGAACAGTGCCTGGTGCAAAATAGGCACTCTGTAAATGATTCTCCCACCTCAGCCTCCTGAGTAGCTGGGATTACAGGCATCCACCACCACACCCAGCTAATTTTTGTATTTTTAGTAGAGACAGGGTTTCTCCATGTTGGCCAGGCTGGTCTCAAACTCCTGACCTCAGGTGATCCGCCCACCTCGGCCTCCCAAAGTGCTGGGATTACAGGAATGAGCCACCAGGCCCGGCCAATAACCAGGCTTTTTAACGGTGTCACTCAGAGCCTTTAATTTGCCAATGTGAGTTGTGAATCTCTGAGAGAAGGCTAACGGCACACTTGCAACTTACTTGCCCACAGACAGGCCCTTCTGCCCCAGAAGAGAAGAGCATTCCACGATGCTAATGAGCAAAGAGGGTGAAGACGGAACATCAGAGAGCAGCAGGGAGTGCAGGGGAACAGATAGGCCAGTTCAGGGAGCCGGGAGGGAGAAGCCCCACACCTCACCTGCCCTCCCCAACAGTCTCTGTTCTGGTCTCCCGCAGGGTGACAGTGGTGGCCCCCTGATGTACCAGGCTGACCAGTGGCAGGTGGTGGGCATCAGCAGCTGGGGCTATGGCTGCGGGGGCCCGAGCACTCCAGGAGTGTACACCAAGGTCTCAGCCTACCTCAGCTGGATCTACAATGTCCGGAAGGTAAGGCACCTTTGTCCTACCCACTGTGCCTTCCCTCCAGTCCTCTACCCAGGGAGTGCCAGTCTATCCTTAGGTTTGATTTAAATGGCTCTGACAACCCTTTACATCTCAAATAACTTTCCCTCCAAGAAAGGGACAGCCTGAGATTCCGCAATTAAGGCTGAAATTCCTTGGGTCAGAGATTTCTGTTCAATGCAAATACCTTAGGGAATAGAACTAGCCAAGCCTTTCTTTCCCTTTTCTGACAGAATGAGACTATCAGATCCTTTCTAGAGAGAAGATTCTGATAAGGAAGGGAGTGGAAAGGCTCATGAGACCTCCTGACCCTCTGCAGGGTAGGGAGAGAAGCAAAGTGCTTCAGAAAAGGAAGATCATTTTGCACACGTCGCCACTTCATCCAGTTTCAAATAATCTGACTTTCTCTTCATCAGTCCTTCTTATTCTAGGCTGAGCTGTAATGCTGCTACCCCTCGGCAGTGCTGGGAGCTGCTTCCTTCCTGCCCTGCCCACCTGGAGACCCCCCAAAGTCAGACACAGAGCAAGAGCTCCCTTGGGTACACCCCTCTGCCCACAGCTGCAGCATTTCTTGGAGCAACAGAGGGCCTCAATTCCTTTGAGGAAGAGATCCCCACAGCCCAGAGGCACCCAGGGGAAGTCAGCAACCTAGCTCAGCCACGCTTGGTACTTCCAGCATCCCAGAGAGAGACGCAGCCCACTGAACAATCCAGCCTGCAAGCCAAGGTCTCATGGGTATTGTGACAAGGCACTTTCCCACACTACTTACTGAATGGAAGCAAGCTGTCTTATGAGAGCCCAGATCACTGTGGGCTGGAGAGGAGGAGGAAAGGGTTTGTGCCAGCCCTGTCATTCTTCACCCATCCCCAAGCCTACTGGAACAAGAACCCAGTTGTAGAAAACGCACTGCCCTACTGTTGGTGTGACTATTACCTCCTGTTGCTATTGTTCTTACAGCTATGGCCACTATTATTAAAGAGCTGTGTGACACCTCTGGCATAGGCTAGCTGGAATGCTTGATAAGAACGGAGCTGGGACCATTGAACCTTCATTCTTTAGTTTGGGGAGAAAAAAAAAGTCCTGGGAAAGCAATTGTGTCTCAGAGTAGAGGCAGGGAAAAAAAGAGTCACAGAGACCAGACCTTCTGAGTGACCACAAGAGTGAGCTGCAGATTGGAGAAGCCAGGGTGAGCAAGTTTCATTCCCACACGGGGCCTTCTCCCTTTGCCTCTTTCCCTCCCTCCCTGCCTGTGATAATCAGCCAGGAGCCAGGGATAACCTATGACTTTGGAAGGAGATGAGTTAGGCAGTCAAGGATGACATTTGATCAGGGATCCCCACGTGGCTGGAAAGGAATGCTGCGCCTGTGTCCCACCTTCTTCCAGGTGGAGAGCCCTCAGTGTGGCCTCTTTCACCCATTCAAAAAAAAAAAAAGTATCAGCTCCCAAGTATGAGGCAGTCCCCAAGCTGGGTTGTGAGGATATAGGCATGAATAAGCCTCTACACTCTAAATGGTCAAAGAATTAAGCCCCATGCCCAGCCAATTTTTTTGTATTTTTAGCAGAGACAGGGTTTCACCATGTTGGCCAGGCTGGTCTCGAACTTTTTTGGCAGCTGTATGAAAGCTTGGGTTTTCTGAGGACTCTCTTGCTATAGTGAAGTCAGATCCTAGATGAAATGTACTTGTTCATACTATACTAGGTTCTTATGAAATAACAAAATTCCTCACATACCAATAACAAATAAAAGAAAATAGAAACCCAGAAAACAAAGCAAAACAAAACCATCAGAACCATAAGTGGAACGAAGGTGACAATCTCAGAGCAATACACTGAAACCTCGGGTCGAGACCTATATAAAGGCTGCCGTCAGAGCTAAGCCTGGGCATGCAGCAGACAAAGGAGGCGAAGCAGGGCTCCTACATGCAGCAGAGATACTGAAGGGAGCAAATGTGGTCTCAGGCAGCAGATGGTCTGGAGGAAAATAACCCAAGTTTAGAGCCTCAGGATTCCCAAAGATCCTCCAAATATGAGCTCAAAGATCAGAGACATTGAAAAATAAAAAACACCTTAAGTGGGTGGCATAAAAAACAACTAATTTAGAAACCCAAAGACTTTAGATGTCAGAATATTAGATACGCACAATAATAACCAATATTTTTGGAGTATTTACATGTGCCACACACCATTGTAAGTGCTTTGTCATGTACTGATTCATTTAATACTCATAGAAATCTATGAGATAGGTATTATTCTTATCCTCTGTTTATAGATTAAAGAAACTAAGGCACAATGAGGTTAAGCTCCTTGCCTGAGGTTATAGACTGGTAAGTTGAACATGAGCACTTAGAATACAGAGTTCACACTGTAAACTACTATACTATAGGGCCTCCAACATGATAATTTATAAAATATTTAAATTTTAAAAAGAAATACTAGTAGTATATTTTAAAATTATGCTTGTGAGCAAATGCACATAACACAAGTTACCGTCTTAGCCTTTTTTTTTTTTTTTTTTTCCTGAGACAGAGCCTTTCACTCTGTCACCAGGCTGGAGTACAGTGGTGCAATCTTGGCTCACTGCAAACTCTGCCTCCCAGGTTCAAGCAATTCTCCTGCCTCAGCCTCCTGAGTAGCTGGGATTACAGGTGCCACCACCACACCCCGCTAATTTTAGTATTTTTAGTAGAGACAAGGTTTCACCATGTTGGCCAGGCTGGTCTTGAACTCCTGACCTCATGATCCACCCTCATCAGCCTCCCAAAGTGCTGGGATTGCAGGCATAAGCCACTATGGCCATCTCATCTTAACCATTTTTTAGTGTATAGTTCAGGGGTGTTATGTACATTCACACTGCTGTGCAGTCATCACCACCATCCATTTCCAGAACAGAAACTCAGCACCCATTAAACACAGCTCTCCATTTCTCCCTCCTCCCAATCACTGACAACCACCATTGTGCTTTCAGTCTCTATGATTTGGATTACTCTGGGGACCTCATTTAAGTGAAGTCATGCAGTATTTCTTTTTTTTGTACTTGTTTTATTTCACTTATCCTTGTGTCTTCAAGTTTCATTCATGTTGTAGCATGTCAGAATTTCCTCCCTTGTTAAGACTGAATAATTTTTTTTTTTTTTTTTTTTTGAAGACACGGTTTCACCACATTGGTCAGGCTGGTCTTGAACTTCCGACCTCAGGTGATCCGCCCGCCTTGGCCTCCAAAGTGCTTGGATTACAGGCGTGAGCCACCACGCCCGACCCCGACTGAATAATATTCTATCGTTTATACCATATTCTGTTTATCCATTCATCTACTGGTAAACATTCAGGTTTCTTCTATCTTTTGGTTATTGTGAACAGTGGTGCTATGAATATGGGTGTACAAGTATCTCTTTGAGGCCCTACTTTCAATTCTTTTTGGGTATATTCCCAGAAGTGGAATTGCTGGATCATATGGTAATTCTATTTTTAATTTTTTGAGGAACTGATATATTGCTTTCCATGGAGACTGCACCATTTTATATTCCCATCAACAGTTCACAGGAGTTACTATTTCTCCACATCCTCCCCAACACTTATTTGCTGTTAAAAATGGATACCTTAATAATCAAGCAAAAATAACAGGCAGATTTGAAAAAAACAAATACAGCTTTTAGAAATGAAAATTATAATTATAAAAATGAAAAACTGGCCAGACATGGTGGTTCACACCTGTAATCCCAGCACTTTGGGAGGCTGAGGCAGGCAGATCACAAGGTCAAGGGATCGAGACCATTCTGGCCAAATGGTGGAACCCCATCTCTACCAAAAATATGAAAATTAGCTCGGTGTGGTGGAAGGCATCTGTAATCCCAGCCATTTGGGAGGCTGAGGCAGGAGAATCACTTGAACCCAGGAGGCGGAGGTTGCAGTGGGCCGAGATCGCACTACTGCACTCCAGCCTGTTGACAGAGCTAGACTCCATCTCATAAAAAAAGAAAAGAAAAACTAAGTGGATGGGGTAAACAGCATTTAAAACACAAATTAAGAGAGAATAAATGAACTGGAAGATAAATTGAAGAAGTTACTAAATTTAACAGCAGACAGAGATAAGGAGATTAAAAATATGAAAAAAGGGCCAAGAGCAATGAAGCCTAGAATGGTAAACTCTAACACATCCAGAGTCCCAGAAAGAGAGAATCAAGGCAATGAGAGAGACAATATCCAAAGAGATAAGAGCTGAGAAAGTTCCAGAACTGATGAAAGGTGTGAATCCACAGAATATACACCAGTATAGTATACACCGATACAACCAAGGTGGAAAAATGCCAAAGACAGAAAGAAACTCCTTATAGCAGCAGGGAGAAAACCCAGACCACCCACAGTACCACAAAGCTATCACAATTAGACTGACAACAGGCTTTCCCATAGCAATAAAGGAGCTGGAGGTCAGCGGAAGTATATCTTCAGTATACCAAGAGATAATAGTCAATTAAGGATTGTGAACCCTACAAAACTATCTTTCAAGAATAAAGGCATTTTCAAGAAAACAGAAACACACTTTACCATCAACAAACCTTTTCTAAAAGAATATATAAAGCATTTACTTTAGGAAGAAGGAAAATGATCCTAAAAGGACAAACCAAGAAGCAAGAAGGAATAGTGAGGCAATTGTGAAAATGTAGATAAGTCTAAACACACTCTTTCTATGTACTATTATTATTATTATTAAGACCGTGTCTTGCTCTCTCACCCAAACTGGAATGCAGTAGCAGGATCTCAGCTCACTGCTACCTCCCACTCCCAGGTTCAAGTGTTTCTCCTGCCTCAGCCTCCCGAGTAGCTGGGATTACAGGCATGTGCCACCCTACCTGGCTAATTTTTGTATTTTTAGTAGAGATGGGGTTTCTACTAAAAATACAAAAATTAGCTGAACGTGTTGGCCAGGCTGGTCTCGAACTCCTGACCTCAAATGATCGGCCCACCTCAGCCTCTCAAAGCTGGGATTACAGGCATGTGTACATATTATTAAAATAACAATAATATCTATTTTGTGGGTTAATTTTTTTGAAACAGATATAGAATTTATTGGTTGGCTATAAGCAGGAAAATACACTGCACTGACAAAGAAAAACAAACCCTGTATATAAATATAATACTACCTAGTGGCAATTTGACCAAGAAGGCTCCATCATGGGTTAATTTTTAAAACCCTAACTGAAACATGAAGTAACAACAGCAAGCAGCATGTAAATTAAAGGGGAAAGTTGAAGTTAAAATATTCTAAAGTTCTTAAATTGTTCAAAAGGAAGGTTAAATATTATTGTTATGCTACATAAAATGTTCTATGTTCTAGGTGGTTAAAGGGTAATCACCAAAAGAATGGAAATAAAAGTGTGTCACTTCCAAAACAATTGAAAGTAGCAATCTATTAATAAAAAAAAAAAACAAAAAACATCAAGCAAGCACAAAAGAGAAAGGAGGGGAAGGAGGAGTGCTAAGGAAGGAAAAACACAGAAAAATGGGACAAATAGAATATACAAAGTAGGATTGTGAAAAAGTACTAATAATCACAATCAATGTGAAACTCACCAAATAATGTACGGAGACAGGCAAACTGGATAAAAATGTAAGATCTGGCTATACGTTATTTTTAACAGACATACACAAAACACCAGGTTACAGAACCATTAAAACTGAAAAGGTGGCGAAAGATACAGAGAGCAAGCATTTAATCAAATTTAAGCTGGGATAGCTGTATAATATTTTTCTAAATAAGGATTTAGAAGAAAAAGACAAAATTGACTTTAGGATAAAGAGAGTCACTACATAATCACAAAAGTTCCAATTCACCAGTAAGCTATAATAAGTGAAAACCTGTTTTGTTTACAAGTTCTTCTCTTTGTTTAAGAAGAAAATAGAAAAGTAAAAACACCATCCTTTTGTCACCACTGGAGTTGGCAATCACATCAGGTTCTTACTCTGAAATATTTAAAGAGGAAAAATTAGCACTATGCTGTTTTGCCATAGAAATCTACTTCCAGGTAACA